GGCAGTAGTCACACTAAATAGATAATTCGCAGTCATTCCCTAGCAGCAAACGTTTACGCCTTAATAGAATATTGCTGCCAATTGTCTACATACACTACGATTTAATTTTATCCAAAACCATAATGTACGCGTTTTTGAACTGCAGCTGAATCGGTATGCGTAATTTGCGTCATGTTAATCTTTTTATTACGTCATATGTGTGAAAGATCAAGAGAATTAGCCAATTTGCCGCATCCCTTTTCAAATTGATCCATTTTGCAGCTCATAAATTACTGACAACAATTGCTCATCTTTTTACTTCTCAATGAACTCAAACGTATACCTTATCGCCCAATTTGTCTTATAAAAGCGCATACGTTTTCTTATTTTTTTACTTATTCTTTTTACAGTTTGGCTGTCTTCTTCTTTTTTATACACTTATTAGGCTTGATTCAATTTTATTTTCACTATGTGATTGTATAAAATATACATTTTTGCAAAGTTTCCAAATCAAAATTTCTTCTTAAAAGAGAAATTGATCGTTTTTAATTAAGGATGTTTTTAATTTCGAATGTTGGATAATGGGTATATTCATTTTGTCAAACCGTTTACAACGCCCAGAAGGAACCATCAGAGACTCCACAAAGTATATATATTCTTGATCAGCATCAAATTCTTAATCTATTTAAACATGTCCGTCCGGCGGTCGGTCCGGCTGGGCAATGTCTGTTGTGAATATTCTCTTGGCTGCAAAAATGAAGCTATCGACTTCAAATTTGGCAGAAGCATTAAATGGTCTTGCATGGAGATTGTTATGGAAAATGGGCCAAACAATCATCACGCAGACGAAGAACACTTGTTTTTCGAAGGGAATAAAAAATTGGGTTTTTGCTCATTACTCATAAACTGTACCAGATAAATGTGCAAGAGTTCGAACGCATATTCTATGCTTACCCAATATTGCAGTGTATCAAAATTTAATTTTTTTTCACTACCTATGTAAGCCCAGAAACAAGATTCAAAAACCCCATGAATTGTTAAACTCAAATATGGAACGCACCTAACCACGTTCGTCTGATCGTCTGTTTGTCTGTGTATGCGCAACTGGCTAGCGTTTGGAGTAAACATTCTTCCCTTAGCGAAAATGAAGATATCGTCTAAAAACTTGCAAAAGAATTTGGACGCGTCTTAAACTTTTCCAAAAACACGCTTACAACGGCCACACGCCTATGCGATAAACCCTTCTATTTCGAAAATAGAAACAATCAGCACGCTCACTCCAGGTTATGTAGCATGAAAATTCAGTTCTTTTACTTTTTTTTATCTTTTTCAGGTTAACGATGATGGGTATAAAAGATTCGATCACGACTGAATATAATTTTCTTGCTTGATACATTTTTAAATTTTGGTAGAAACCCTCTCGATCCCTAAAACCGTTAGTCCCATTTGGCATACTCATCACTGAAAGCCGTCGCATTCCTCTTACCATACCGCTGAAGAAATGGTTATTAAGTTTAATTGAATTTTTAATAAAGTTGTGAATAATATGAAATGTGGCTTGTATGTTTCGAACTTTGCAACGGTGCTGCCACTTTTCGCCTCTTGGTAAGTGGTGTGACAGACGCTACTACTTCGCGAACATAATGCTGAAATGTCTTAAGGCTGCATTACATATTTTTTTCGCAATCCTCATACGTTTTTCGCTTTCTCTTGATGATTTGCTGGCTTTTTTGGCTTTCGTGCGAAAGCACAAAAACGCATTTAACATGAAGATTTTCACAGACACAGTTTTTGTAATGAGTTGATGAATATTTGATGATAAAAGTTCGTGAAAATGTGAACATATCAAATGTTCGTATTTGTTTATACGCTTGTAAAACGGAAAACTCAATTATATTGATATACTGTGTAAACATTGTGGCGCGTGGACGACACTTAATAAGCGCTCAATTTAATCTAATTAAAAATGTATGATTTAATCTGCAATCAGTTGTGTTAATTGGATGTAGCGCAAACTTTTATTTACCTGCGTACATATGTGCAATTGTATATCCTAACTTTAACTAACAAAACTGTTCTAGTAATCGGACGCGCATTGCGAAAAGTTTTAGAAAAAATCTGATGAAGACATGGAAATGATCAAGTTAATTGAAGTTGAAAATACAATAAGCTGTGAAACAGTCAGAGAATGTTTTGGTAAGTTTCACAAATTTTGAGAATAAAGTCCACATCCATCCGCCTGTCTCCAGCAAATCTAACCCAGGAAGTACTCTTTAACTTGGGCTGGGAGCTTCTTTTCCAGACCTTCCTTCTTCTGGTTAGCGTCGTTTCAGATCAGGTACAGTGATATTGATGACTATTTCCCCGCGAAACCGCGAAATTTCTAGTGGGAGGGCATGCGAAAACTATTCGCTAAGCGGCAAAAGCTCGCAGATGGTGGTGGTGCACATGTCGCCTCACATATTAATTAATTAATTAAATTTTAACTTTATCCAAAACGTGACAGAAATTATTTATACACCTATAAACACGCTTTTTAAAATTACACAAATAAGTTTGCTCGCAAGTCAAGAGAGTCAATATATCTTTTATATTTGAGAAGTAATTAAATCGATATTTTAAGAACACCAAAAACCGCAATGCATAAATCTACGGCTTTACGCTTACCGTTTTATTAAAATTTTTATGCTAAAACTTGAGCAAAATAAAAACTCTGAGTGCCCGCCATTTTTATATATAATTATAGTTACATAACTATAACTTGGAGCAAATGATCTAGTAGTATTGGAAAATTTTTTTGCTTTTGTGTAAACTGCGGGTGTTTGAATCTACATCTTTCACACAGATATGTAAGTGCACGTAGTCTTATCAAAACTCTAACGATGTAAATTTCTTGAAAGAGAATCGAACTGCATCGACTAGTCCTTGTATTTATTTTACACATAGAGAGAATTCCTTGTATACCCATAAAAAGTGCGTTGTCCTACTTTAAATGCCCTGATGTGAGTAATGTGCTTTGATATTAGAATGGCAAAAAGTTAAATTAAAAAAAAAAAAAGCAAACAAGCGTTGTGGAAACAAAAAATAAATTAATAACAATAAAATTTCAATTTAATACAATTTTAACTGTGCATGTGAAGACGGGGGCATGTTCTTATATATGTACAGAAGTGTATGAGTTGCAAACTCTATTACATTAGAATTACATAAAATTAAACAACACGAAACGAGGATAAGACAAGAGGAATAGCAATCAAAACAAGAAGCAGTTAAGCGTAATAATAGCAATTTGAACAATTGTTGTTTGAGTGAGAGTCCTTGTGGGAATTTGGGCTTACAATTCAATTTACTTTACAACGCAATTGTATTAAATGTAGCCTGAGCCCCCCTCTTTCGTTTATTATTTGGTTGTGCTGATTTACGTCGGTTATACACTCATCCACAGGATCAGCAGCCAACCTGCGCTGAGCGATGACACATTATTTTTAATCCGCTGCGTTTCATGTATTAGGCAGTATAATTGATTACCCTACTTTGTGCCGTTTCATAGCAAGCCTTTAAGATGCGACAAACGACATTATTCATATACCTAAACGGCCTAAGAACCTAAGTTACTCGGGTAGTTATTTTACATTTAATGTCACGAAGGCATTACCTAAAATATGTATAAACATATATTTTCCAACATTCAAATTTTGTATCAACTAGTCATATAAAAGGAAATTAAAACCAAATAAACAAAAAAGTAAAGGTTAAGATAACTTTGTAATCTTCGAGGCGGCTATTGTAGAATATAATGGCTAGCGAAATAAGAGTGTTTTAGTGGAATTCATGCACACTACGTTACCCTAAATCAATAAAGCTTTTAAACGGGGTTAAAAATCTGCAGGCCGTCTTTATAAAATTGTCCTTTAATTAACTTTAATCTCTCATTTTCTATTCAACTAAAGTAAGAAAAATGAAGTATATGAAGTATAACATTAATAACCAAACGCTGGTGAAACCTAGGTTGACGATAGGTTATGTTTTGTGTTTAGTGGGATTTTACGAGCATCGAACATTATGAGCTGCTTCAAAAGGCGATTAGGGCGCGCAATTGAGTTGAAGCACCTAAAATTGGTCAGTATCTATATCCGTCATTACGGCAACGCCAGATCCCATAGAATTTTAATGACTCGACAAAAGTTGATAGAGCTACGTTCGCAAAATCATGTAGATCGCACATTGTACCGTCTGCCTTTCACAATTGTCGCTTTCCGTAGAGTTCTCCTAATAGGCTGGAGCTAATTTCAAAGGAAGGCTGTGAGAATTAATGATCTTTTGATCAAAATGGCACGTTTTTGTTTTAAAAAAGTTCAGTTATTAAATAATTGTCTTTGAACTTTATTAAACAAGCACTAAAACAAGTTTTTTCTTCGCTTTATATATAAATGCATATATTACTTAAGAGTCTGTTATTATCAAATCTTATTCAAAATATCGGAACATTTTTGGACAACTTACTGAATTTTTCTTGGTATAACTGTTTATTGCTTTTTTCAATTTAAATTTGGTGATATCATGAACAATAAGCATCCAAACTTGATTCGCATAGAAATTCCTTTGCTAGCCAAAAGTGATTCTGACGTATTATATCACACATTAATTAGATATTCCATTTTTTTTTTTTTTTACTATTATCTTTCAAAGACAGAAGACATATTTTATAGTCATTTTTAATCAATTAGATGTTGCTTCTACATACAACATTATTGACTATTGAAGTAGTGTTGAAAGAGATTTTTTGTGTAGCACTTGTTAATGAACTCCTTAAATTCTGTGTTTTATGTGGGATGATTAAAAAATAAACTATGTCGAAATGTTACAACTCCAATGATCTAAAGATATTTGAAAGTGATATTAATAAGCGGGCAGATTTAATCAACAATATATAAATAAGATTTCTATATATGAGTATGTCTGAATTTTACAGCTCTTCATTCATGTAAAATTATGTGAAAACACGCGGATGGAGAAACGTCATGAAAGCATCTCAACAATCTCCATGTATTGCAGACTTATGTCTACATATGCCAGCAGCAATGACGGCGAAAGAAATGCTAAACGTAGCAAGATCTTCAGTTGGTGGATCGACTACCGTGGCCCGAAATGTTATGACGCCACAAACGTTAACAGTGAAGTCAATAACACAGATTAGTCCAGGGATACCACCAAATCTGAGTAGTGGCCTTCATCGCACTAATTCCAGTTTCGCTGCTCAAAAATCGAATCAGGTAAAACTGCAATTACGTTTCTATCTATTACTTTTTAAGCCGAAAAACACAGACTTTACATTTCCATAAAACTTATAGCTAGATACGCATTTTCTGGTACAACATAAGCTGTTGACATAATTGTTTTTTTGGGTGTACATTAGTTAACATTATTTAAGGCTTACTGTAGCTATTAAATCTTATATATGAAATCCAGCCAACAGAATTGCACCAGTTTCTAATTCTCTACGCCTTCAACCATCTACTGGCTGAAATCCTCAGAGTTCCAAGCGAAATGAAAACACTTTCCTTTTTACGAAAATTATTTGGGAATAGTCTGCAACGCAAATTGAATTGTTGGCGTTGCTTAACAGAAAACTTTGCGTACTATTACACTTTTCAACCCCTAAATAATTCATAAAAAGGCATCATATTTGATGAGATTTTAATTGGACTATATAAAAAACATGAGAACTGGAAAATGGTATCAATCGACAATATTGCAAAAACATATGTTACGAGAGCGTATAATTTCGAAATTCGTTTCCCTGTACTATATTTTCAAAAATTGGAATCTAGGGAGGATTGTGAAAATCGACTACTAGAGTTTTTTGCAAATAGAGACCAGGACTTCTATGAGAGAGGCATTTTGAAGTTACCTTTAAAATGGCAACAAATCATACAACAAAACGGTGCATATTTGACCCAAATCAGACAATCCGAAGCATGTTAAATAAAGTCCTGAAGTTCATGTAAAAATAATGGATTTCTTTTTCCACAAACTAATATTTGGTTTTTTAAGGTCTCTTCTTATATACTGTTTGCTTGCGACTAGCTACAGAAAAGTGGTACCTAAATTTTGTCGCTCGTTGTCCACTTAAGATGGATATAGTATCCTTTTTTTGCATTCTTTTACTCACGTTTATTTTGTGTCTGTACTGCTCATCTTTGAGTATAGTATCGTAATTTTAAATTTTTTGAACGAAAGGACTGCAGAACTTTTTGACGGAAGTAAAATATATCCACAAAGGAGAATATCAAATGCTCAGATTACTCAGTCCTTGATAGTCTTTAACTCCTCAGGCCTAACATATACTCTCCAACGGCGTAGAAAACATTTTGGCTGCCATTTACAAAGTAAAGTTACAAGGCAAACTGCAATTGAAACCGTTAAAAGATTATTCGTATTAGTTAAGCTGATAATACAACCTAATTAGATTATGTCTATCACTTTATATATAATAATAAAGTTTTTAATTTGCTTAATTTTTTTTTTTCATGTAAGCCACGAGGCTATGGTAGCGTAACAGTTTCGTATAAAAGTTCGTAATATTGGAAATTTTTAATTTATCGTTATATACATTGCAAAGTATGTGTGCATACGACACACAAAGGTCTACACCAAAGCCAGATTTATCTAATACAAGTTAAGAAACGGGGAAAACAAGACCACCTTTTTTGAAAGAAACATTTAGAGAATTGTTTTTTACAGTAAAGCACCACTTGATTTTCACCAATTAATGGAATATGTTCTTTTTTAATTACTCAAATCCCACTAGCGATGCACAAGAGATTTTCGGCAACTTAATTAAAGAGGCGTCTGTTCAATTATTAATGAAGCACAATTATATTTGTTCAAATAAAGAAAATACTAACAGGACTTCACAAGGTATAATCTTGAACGTGTATGCGTATGCGTCTGAGACGTTTTTTCTAGATGCGACTATATGCGTGTTACGACTTACTGAGATTTGTAATATTATCGCATGTGAGTCGGTCTTCAGAAAGTTAACAGCGCCTCTGAATAATAAGCGCGTATTTCAAGCCTTTATACATTGTATTTATGGGACCGAAGAAAGATATACGGAGGTGGTGGTCACAGAGTAGTGGATGCGAGCCCAATGGTGTTATGCCCTTACCGACTGAGCACTCAATATAGCTACGAACAAAGTAAACCCTACCGCACTGAGATCTGGACCCGCGAATACTGACATTGTCATTGCGATTCTTACCTCCTCGCTTACTCAGGCGGAAAATGCAGGTAGAGCGTACGCTAAAGTAACAACGTAATTTATTGGTAATACTGAGGTGTTCTGGAACTCGTTACGTCCCATTTTACACAATGTTAACGTTAGTTATAAACGCGAAAAAGAATTATTATTATATATGTTTTTTAAATTTCTTTGATTATATATTGTTATTATTAATATATATTTTTATTTATTTATTTTAAAGGCTGCCGGATAAATCAGATCATATGCTCCTCTGCATTCAAACATTTATTTATCGAGATTTGCACCCGCGACCATTGCGTTATAAGTCGGGATCCTTTCCCAACTCGGCTTTTCATGCGGATCTTTATAATATATATATTGCTATATATATTATTATTATATGATGTGCTATTTATCTACTTATCTAATTATTTAGTCATGTATTTATGTTTATTTATATGCATAATTATTTGTTTATTATATCATATCATTACATTATATGTTCGGTAACTTCATTTATTTGCATTCACCTTGCATGTTTTCTCTTATTTGCGCTTACATTATTTTTATGTATATTTTTTTATAAAACTTGTCGCAAAATGCGCTTCCTGCTTGCGCGATAAGGTGCCCTGGTAATTAGAAAATAACAAAACAATTTGTAGCCTTTATGTCCGGTTATCTATTATACGAATACTCAAAGCAGGGGATATTAAATGGTACTTCTATATGTACGTTCAAATATATTGATGATCCCGGTCAAATCAACCATATAGCTCCTATTTGCGATTTTGTTTTGAATATAATTTGAGTCGATTTTTAATAGACTTCGAAATATAATGCGTTTACAGGCAGTTTGTACCCATGAACTTTTTCCGAAGTCATTAGGATGTTTGTAAGTGGTTTATTACATAGTTTGCCTCAAGTTCAAGCGGGCTTGAGTTTGTATTTTGCATAAAGAATGTTGTTACGTATGCGATCTTTAGTATTCATAAGACGAAATTCTGCCTTTTATACTTCATATTATTTTTGTGCGGAAAGATATTAGTTTTATTATATTATAGGGGAAATTTGCTTCGGAGATCAGACTAAAGTCGCTTTCGAATTTCAAAAATCAGTATCTGCCAGCTTCCTCTAAAATTTGTACGCGAAAATGGTTTTAAATCCTCTGCTAAAATGGCTATAAATAGTAAATAATATTTTTATTTTAATACGCTTTCAGAACTCATCAAATCCCGAGCAGGCATTTTTCATACGTGCTTGACTTCACTGAGAAGCGTACATCTTTTTCCAGCCTTTTTTGGACCATTGAAAGTCGCCCTTTGTCCAGTTCCTTTGTCGTAAATTTAGGTAAATAAGTTTGTAGGTTTGGGTGAAAAATTTCTTCGTGTGGCAAATTTTTAACTAAGGTCGGCTACTGACTTTTATATTTTTTCGAATCAATTTTGCCATATTACCCACCTTATGAGGGAATGTCTGATCATTTTAATGAAGAGTAATACTTCGATATGCAAATTGTGGAAATGTTTAATTATCAAACAGATCAAATATTATTTTCGATTACGACTGAATATTTTAGATGTTTTTTCACTTTTTAAAACGTTTACAAGATCTTGTAGCAGAATGTTGTTTTCTTTAGTTACTGACTACCACATGCTTGAAAATGTGAACAATAGGAGTATTTATGATGATGGGGCTGATGCCAAATATAACGCCGAGTCAATCGTTGTTTTTCATGATTCACTGTTTTGAGTTGATACTATGTAGCAGCTATTGGTTAACGGATACCGTGTGTCCTTGATGTAAAAACTTCATTATTATTACTGTTTGTTATTATTACTATGTTTTCAGGTTAGTACGGTTTTATTATGTGGCATTCCCATAGTTTCGTTACATATTGAAGGCCAAGAGCGTTTGTGTCTAGCGCAAATTTCCAACACCTTGCTAAAGCAATTTAGTTACAATGAAATTCATAATAGGCGTGTCGCATTAGGCATTACATGCGTACAGTGTACTCCCGTACAATTGGAGATACTGCGACGAGCTGGTGCTATGCCCGTTAGTTCAAGACGATGTGGTATGATAACGAGAAGAGAAGCAGAACGCTTATGTAAGAGTTTCTTGGGTAATAACACTCCGCCGAGGTTACCTGAGGATTTTGCTTTCAATGTGCAACATAAGTGCGCTTGGGGATGCCGTGGGTCTTTCTTACCAGCTCGTTACAATTCATCACGCGCCAAGTGTATTAAATGCCAATATTGCGGTGTTTTCTTTTCACCGAATAAATTTATATTTCATTCGCATCGGTTAAGTCAGAATGATAAATATGTACAACCGGACGCAGCTAATTTCAATTCATGGCGGCGACATATGATGCTAAGCGGCCAGCCACTGCAAGAAGTAGTTTATGCTTGGGAGGATGTCAAAGCTATGTTTAACGGCGGCACTCGTAAGCGTTTAATGAGTAATGCAATCGGCCGTACTTCACCCGGTACACAAAATCATCAAAGCTCCACAAATTCAGGCCAAATAAGGCAAGTTAATATTAATCAACAAGAACAAAGTAGCAATGGGTCTAATCAGGCCGCCCTTATATGTCCAATTGCCAAACGGCTTAAAGGAGAAAAACAAGAGCTAAGTACAGTAACAACAGCGGCAACAGCTGCTGTTGGAGTAACGACCGTGCCTGGTACCGCCCTTGGCTCTTCTCGCTTAATAAATCAAAATTATCAGTCTGCAAATGCAGCAGCAGCGACGTCAGATATTACAGAAAACGATTGTTATAATGGTAGTGGCAACGATATGAGTATATTACCGTTTTCCCGTAGCCTAATGATGGACTATGTGTGGCAACATGCTCAAGCCGCAAAGCAGTCCTTCGTACAACATCAACATCTAATTCATCATAATTCCCAGCTGTCACAGGCACACCAACAGCAGCAATCTCGATTGAAAGATAGCACAGCATTCACATTACCGTGGATAAAGCCGACAGACTGTTTACCAATTACGACACATCCGGTTATCAACAACAAAACTGGTCAAAATGCTATCATTGATAGCACAGTCCCTCAATTGATTAACCCTTCTGCATTCAAGCCCGTATTGCAGCACGAAAATGCGATTGAAGCTATAAAGGGCACTGCAGTATCCGCAGCGGCTTCCACAGCTTCTTTAATTCTACCGGCTGGTATAACTAATCGACTAATGGACAAATTTCCCGGCGAGCCAACGTCTTTGGCACTCGCGATACATACTAACATAGAGCAACACAGCGAGACACACACCGCACAACCATATCAGAGCTTGTCGTCACCAACACTTACTGTGCACTCCGTTAAGCGCTTAAAACATAATCGAAATGGTACGTTGAAAGAATACGTTTTTCCATCCGATCATTGCTTAGAAAACGAATCTGAAGCAAAAGTTAAGCTGACCGATAAACGTTACGAAGCGTCTAGCTCAGAAGATCACTTGCCGGTGGAGGAAGATGTTCTTGTAGACATTGAAACTACAGAAGATGATAAGCCAGTTCAGCTAATTTTTGGCCCCAATATTGGTGAGTTGGAAGGTGATACTAATTCCACTGATGAAGACGATGATATTGATGTTGTCTGCCATGACATCGGTGAAAGTGAGAGCATTCGGGTAGCGGTGGCTGGAAATCCTATACATTTGGGCAACCAGTCATCTGACAACGAAAGTGATGGAAACCTTCGTTACCCAAACCATGACGATAAGGACAATGAAACCGATTTCGTGATAGAGGACAAAAATGCAACACAAAATGAAGGTGAAAATGTTAATACAAATTTAGTTACCAGACAACAAGATTATCTAACTTCGCTAACAATCAATGCAAGTTCCAAAAACTTTCGCAATGAATATGGACCAAGTGAGTGCCTTCACAAGCATACATCTCCAAGCTGTCAGTTAGAGCAAAAGATCAACAAAACTAATTTTCTACAAATCGAAGGGAATATCACGGCACTGAATACAATAAGATTTCAGGTAATTATTCCAAAGTGCCAAAATTATATCTTAAATTCCTTGCGGTCATCAACTCACTCTAGTTAAAAATTTCGTGAAGCTCCTAAAGAGTATTAATTAATAATTATTATTAATAATCAACTTAAAAGAAGAATATGAAATTCGTGTTTTCCGTATTGGGACACAATATTCAAATTTGTCTTATGCATTTTCAAATAAAAATGAGCGTAATCCGTTGGCCGCTACGTCCACATGAAGTGGCCAGTTCTTACAAATTAGAACAGATATTAATCCATGACTCGATGCAAATATTCTGGGAACCATCTATAATTCATAATTCATAGCTATACTGCATCTTTAAAATAGTTCAGCGGTATATACATCTTTCTGGAAATTTTTTGAAGAAGGATTTTTCGGTCGCTCTGTTATAATTTAACGTTGTGCATTAGCTCTCGGGATGGGCTACATTTCCAGTGTAGTAAGTTCAGTAATTATAAAGTGTTGCAGCCATGGACGTCGCATAGCGTCTATTCTCAACAAAGAATTTTAATACAAATTATTGTTGCTCAAATTTTAATCAATACAAAAGAAAAGATTTTCAAGAACAAAAAAAAATTAACAATATTTTAGTACCCTATAAAAAACACTGAGATTCAATTTTTCAAAGAGGATTATACATTATTTTGAAGGTCATTTAATCGTTTTTTTTAAACGGAAAGATTTCAAAACTTTTGTATAAAGTTTGTGATTTGAACGCGATAGGATCTTTTAAAAAAAAATTTTGTTAATATGTTTCTATTTCTTATAAATATATATATATAAATATATATATAAATAACTGCTGGTGGTTTTGCTTGAAAATCTATATAAGCTTCTTGCTACCTCATCTTAAAAAAGTTGTGACAAATTCTTTGGTGATTGTCACATAATACTCCTTTAAAAATAAAATGTCCCTATCTGTTGGACAAATATTTTGTTACAAACCAACACTCCCATTATTCCACGACAATCATTGACGTAACTTTTTGAAATAGCTTCTTTTCCGCGGTAAAAATGGATGTTCCTTTTATAGGGAGCGAAGTGCTCGGTCGCAATGCAAATCAGTAGAAAATTAATTAAACGTTTTTCTATTATTTATTTTCCAGTTTCGTTTTGTTAATAATAATCAAAAGCAAAACAATAACACTAATAATAATATCAATCTCAACAACAGAAACAAATATACTATCAGTAACAATAGTTATATAAATATTAAAAAGTTGAATGAATGAAATCATTAATATTATAAAGTTAACTGTCTTTTGTGATCTTACGCTTTTATTGAACTGCTTTTAAAATAAGGTTCGTAAAAGTAAACTGCGAGTTTTAGGATGGCATAGGTTTTATTTACAATTCTTAGAAGATCTACTTAAAATTCAACTTATTTGACCCGACTCTAACTTCCCTTTTTGCTAATTGTTGTTAATCTCTTCACGAGTAGCCAGCTGCATGAGGCAGCTAAAGCTTCATAATTATGTCTTTAGTTTTTCCTTTCTTTGAAATTTTGTTTCCTGGAAACTCAACTAGTTTTTGTGAAAATTTAAATCATCAAATGGGCAATCATCGTAACAATATCAAGAGCAAAAAGGCAACAAACAATAGTCATTATTTCAACTATATCAACATGGCTAAAATCACTATCATTCCTTTGTGGCCTGTTTTAATACCTGTCAAGAAATATTAATGACCTGATCATGCTTTTCTGGCACAGTGGTCAATCTCAAGGTAACGGACCTTTGTTGATGTGGCGCGAGAGAGAACTCGCACCTGTAACATTCTGCAAATAAATGAAGCCGATTTTCTCCGCACTTTGGAACCTACTTAGCCGTCTCGCGATTAAAGTAAAAAGAATTTATGAACAAATTTTGTGAAAGCGTACACTTGAAATGTTTGGAAGTTATTCTTCCACACGAAAAGATTTGTCCAGGCCGGATCCGTAAAACAACATAGACGTTCATAATAATTTGCATAAACGTGTTTCAACCTTGTCTTTACAGTTTTCACCGAGCTGCCTATATTCCTTATCCCTCACGTCGCCATTTGCATGTTTGGCCACGACATGTAATGCTTTAATATCAGGCACATCCGATTACTCCGTTGACTTGGCGTAACAAAGTGTAAATAATTCTGAAATCAATTCTGTCCCAAACGAGCTTTCCTAAAATAAGCATTTAAATTTAAAAATATATGTCATCATTTGACATTTGAAACAAGTTTGGGTTGTTGGCACGCTGATTAACAAAATTCACACTGTGTATACAAGAATTAATGTTCTTATTATTCTGAAGAATCCTAGTCTTTTACCAAAAAAGTAGACAATGTTTAGTCTCTACTACATTAAAATGCTCGCGGCGTATATACAGAAATGGTAGTTTTATTCTTTTATGTTCTGATTGTCAAGTGGATAGAATGAAATAGAGTGGAATAGGAGAAACAAAAATTATGGAGGATTGTGATACATAATCCATTGTCAATTAGCTTAATTGAAGCTTCCAGCCTGCCGACTTATTGGTCTAAAAATTAAAGTTATCTTCCTCTCATTGCATATTAGGCCTTTTTACGTTCCGGCATTTTTCATATTGTATATTTTTATATATGCAGGACCCAGCTGCAATACCGATTATGTACTACTTCAAATCAAAAACTTTAATCCATCATATTGTAATTAAAGAAATGAAGACGACTTTAAAATTACACAAATGTGTATAAATGAAAAAAGTAATAACATAAATAAATGTCAACAGAAATAAATTAATAAAAGAGAAAAAATAAAAATTTATATATCTAGCCCAGAAATGCATTTACAATCTGTACACATCAATCTAAACCGACGCAAACATGAGGAAAAAGCAAGAATTGTTTTTATTCTTAACATTCGTTTGAACATGGCAGCAATAAGAAAACAATCATACAACAGAGCCATAATTCGGTATATGTCACACTAAGCTGATATATGATCTTTTCGTATTTTATTTATTTTTATAGTTCTTAGAATTAATCTAGCTTTATATGAACATATATTTTTGAAAAACTGCTACCCAAAAACTCGACACGTGGAAAATAAAGCAAAATATTTTAATGAACTTGACAAGCTATTGGTCATAGAAACATTACTTAATCTCATAAGTTCCAAAATGTTAGAAAGAATAATAAAATCAAAAATTGGCGCTGAAAATTTTTTAAATGGATGAATGAAGTAAGAAAGAAGTTATAACAATTAAGTTAGTTATTAAGAAAAACGAACTTGACAATTTAAATGAAAAATGATATCATCTTTTTATGAAAATTTGCTTTACATGACGATTTCTAATTTTTACGCCAATTTTCTTCCAAATTTTATATTTAGCTTGTTTATTTGTTTATTTCAGTTTCTCTTCTTTTAATTTTTTTAATATACAAAAACAGATGATATTACAAATATTCCGTGATAAATACAACGAAATAGAAACCCAACTCGATACGAAAGTGATCATGTACCATTAACCCAAACTACGATCGTGCCGCTTTTGTCTTTCTTCTCGTACGATAGCTCGATAATGAGGACCATACACCAGCTTCAGATGTTATCATCAACTGCGGATGTGTTAGTAAGCCGGTAGGAACCATTTTTGGATTGAACGTGAAGATCATCCTAATGAACATCTGAATCATAATTCAAAAATGTGGTAATTGAATTGGAAATTGTACACGATATGATTATAGACGGCGCCCATTTTTCATCAATATATATTTCTAATCCATCAGGGAATGCTTGGGCCAAATTTCAGTTTCCTATCTTTATTTTTACGGCTGTGACAATTTAAAAAATTTGCTCGTCAAATTGCCCGGTTTTGGTCAAAATAGACATTTAGAAAACGTCGGTAGAGCTAGCACTAAGGGCATTTGTGGAACTTGGCTTGCCTTTTAAAAATATACGCTAGGTAGGAGACATAGTTAATTTAAGGTATTGCAACGTAACGCACGTTTTCAACATGATGTCTAAACGGAAAAATTCAATTTTGGAGATGGACCGTCATGCAGTGAAGTTCTACTGCATAGCACGTCTACTTTATTATCGTCATCGTCGGAGGTAAACTGTGGATGATTTAAAGCCCATAGAGTTAACCTCAGGTTGAGAGAACTTAGCTGAAAGATTCCGTCCTAGAATCATTAAAAGCTATAAGCAAGGAAATTGGAGTAGCTTCTCTTTTAGAATTTATCAATTCATAAAGTCGGTTTGAAGTGTTTAAGTTTTTTGGGAGAGCTGATATCATCTTGATCAGTTGAAACAAATCACTTCTAGATATACAGTACGTAACATAATCGTAAGTGAAAAAATTTTTTTTTCAAATTTTGTGAAGAACTTGTTTTTCTTATCTTTCATTAATATCATCTTGAATTATAACAGGCTGCCTGCGAGGCACGCCTGTTTGCTTCGGACTAGTGCGCAGATGACGAAAATCGAATTGAGGAACTTATAAACAAGACAAACAGGTTGATAATTTTTTCAAGAAAACCCTTAGATCTATCTGATAATCAGATAGGAATCAAGAAATTGTTGTATTCGTTAAGAGGCTCAGAAAAGTGTGGTAAGTTCAAATCAGTTGGCGCAACTATAATATTCGGTGTTTTCATGCGTTTATCTACTTCAGGAATGAGAGAAGCATTTTTTTTGTACATACTAGTTTTTGAATGTGGTATATGTTATAAAAATGTTCATATAATCAGACGAATGGCGATAAGTTTAACATTAGAGGTAGCTGAAAATGGAAAAAAATATCATAAGAAGGAAAATGGTCCAGTTATCCTGGTCGCCCCCGAACTTATTTAGTCTGAAAGAATATTTTAAAATTGCGGAGAAAAAGCTCAGAGTTATGGACTTATACTTCAGCGAAATATCTACAAAAGCGCAGTCCTCAAAATTCACGGCCTCTGCAGTTGAAATGTAAACGGTGCATTTTTCAGTTCAAGCTCCTAATATTTTGATAAATGGTAGAATACAAATTCTAAGAATAAATTCGTTTTTTGGATTATTATTATTATCTTGTATAGATGATAAAACGTAGGCAACAAACACTTCAAGTTTTGTTTGTGGCACTGAAAATTTGGACTTCAGTGATCTTGTTCTCTTAAGGTAGCGTAGAGTTCTTCCCAAAACCGTCCATTAAAATTTTCTTGTAATCCTTCCATATCCAAGTGTAACAACTACCAGGACGTATCCTGTTCATCGAATACATCAAAATTCCCAGAAGTTCACGAAAAGGAAATTCTTTAATGTGGGTGTCAATTAATTCCTGATTAAGTTGTGAATGTTTTACCATCGGCATAACATAATTTCACATAAATTTTCTCCTTTAAATCGCCACGAAGGTAAGCAATTCTTATGTGCATTTGAAAAAAAAATCTTTTGATATTCCAATTGCGAATGTGTAACCATTTATGTGCTACTACGTTGGTATTGTGGCCACACGTTGAGTGCCACTTTAGTATAACAAGTCATGTCTATGTCTATCAGATTTAGTTTTACCATTACACCATTATACCAATTGTATTTAGTAGTAAGTCTATCTATACCTTCTTGTGTCTAAAACTGGTATCTAAATAAATTTTAGGGCAACCTTCCAGTGCCACTATAAGAGGGATGGAGGCATATGAGTCACACGTATGTATTTTAGGAGAGTATGTGTAGTTTCTGAGATGTGGGAGGGATAATATATCATGGCTCACGGACACTTCTAGGAAAAAGAAATTGCACGTACATGCCCCTAACGAATATGCGAACAGACGAAACCCTTACACACTGAACGGGAATCCTATGTGACACTAGAGCGGATAAATACCCACCCTGCCTGTCGGTTTTCCTTTGGGTACAAAAAATTTTGAGACCCCGAAGTTGGGCCCAGAGGCCCCTATCAATCTACCTTCCTCTCATTATAAAAAAAGAACTTAGCACATTTTTATATTATTATATCACTTTTTCATTAATTTCATTTTATTTTTTAATATATATTTTTTTATCTTTATTTTTTAAGTAATAGAAATAATAATAGAAGTATTTAAAAAAAAAAAAACTAATGCATAACCTCCGTGCCGCTGACTTACTACTTCAGATGATAAAGATGTTGTATATGGTGTGTTGACGTATCAATATTGGATATAGCGGTAGACGTCGGCTACATCTGGATTTGCACCGGTGTTTATTGTTCATATATAACACATTTGTGACATTATAGAAATTGCGCGTAAATCCAACTTTCAGACTACGCTTGTTTCTTTGCTTACATCACAAGTTCAATGCTACGAGCTGCTTCTCTCGATAATAATTCCGGTACCGTACTTAAAATTTTTTTTGAGGCCTTTTATACTGTTTTATTATTTTTAATATTAAGAATAAAGTGCTTATCTAAACATAGTTACTAAATGTATACAAATCCTCCTGGGTGGGTGCGCAGACAAAGAGTCTCGACTAACAACTCAATGGTCGTACGTTCAAATCTCAAGTGCCGTAGTATTTTCAATAGAGCTGATAGCCTTGATAGGCTTCTTAAACAATTTGATTATTCTCTTTTCGTCATAGTGCCAGATATAAAAATCAATACAAGGTGTTTAACAATACATAGCTCTTTACAATAACATATTATTATAATTTTGGCTTGTTCCTCTATGCCTTGGACATTTTAATATGTTTTAGACATCTGTATGTAAGAAGAATCGTATTGAGGGTTAATTTTAGCGATAAGCTGTTGTTCCTATAGATCGTACCTAATATTTCTTAGAACTTGAATGACGGTTTAATTTGTTGAACCCTTATTTGTCAAGCTAATAAATATGACGTGCGTTTTGATAAAATTTATGAATTGTGGATTTATTGTATTACCTACCTATTAGCTTAACTCTATTTATAATGCGAAGGGGAAAGTCTGGCATCTCCAATTTTGCGAATAGCACCAATTCAACGGTTTGTATCTAGTATTGTGATGCTTTCATTCTTCCAGGTGGAAGTCATAACCGCCACCCTTGCTTGTGTTTGCATTAAATTAGCTTGCTAATGACGAAGTACCTTTTAATAATTTATTTGAAAATATTTTCGATTCGTTCGCTTACATCTCTGCTACGTTTATGATGCGCTCTCAAAACTAATATGATATTTACATTTTACTGTTTGTATATCGCAGTGCTCCACTATTTTCCCACCTATTACAGTTGAGTCTGCATCTAATCTATGAGAGCGGAATCCGATTAGATAAACATGGTTGGACTCTCACTCGTTACTGCACCATGAGACGGTACTTTAAATCCCTCCATAAGATTGTGTATATTAATTAACTTTAATCTATTAGAGTGCATAAGATTAGTTTAAACTGTACATTAATTTTTTGATATGAACACAAAGCCAAACACTTTTTTTTTGCGAAAAAAAGCTTTGGAATGTTAAAACGCGTTAACGATTACCATTTCCATTGTTTATTATTTTTGCTGATTGTTTTGAGAAGGTTTTCTTTACGATTAATATTCTGTACGAAAATCATCCATATCCATTTGATCCGTTAGATTTTTTTTGTATGGAGTGTTCTCTGAAAATGAAGCTTTTCAATCATTACGTACTTTCAAAGTCTCTAACTGTATATAAGTTACTAATTGCAGTACATTTATAAAGTCATTGGAAATTTAGATTGCTCAGTGTCTTTGTGTACTCGTGCTTAATTTAAACGTGATTGCTTCGCTTAACACTCATTTATTTAATTTAATTATAATACAGGGTTATCCATTTTGTGAATCTGAATGTAAATGTAAAAAAAACGCCCTTCTGATTGAGACTTTTTACAAAGTTTTTTTTCAATATTGTATGGACTTCGCAATTTTTTGTGAAATACATAGTTGTACAGCGTACGAAAATAGCTGAAACTTATCAGGAGAACAATTAACACATGGTTATTTTTGTGCACGTGGGATCAAGCTTATATTTGATTAAATGGTTTTGTAAATGGCGTTTAATGCCCCTTTGGTATAAAGACAGCACATCTGATGTTTCTAAAGGACTTTTACGTGTACGAAATTAACGTTTGGATAAAATATTATTTTATGTCAATCGACACCACTAGATAAACGTACTAACTGATTTTCGTGGCAAAAATTAGATGACTTTGAACTGGACGACATGTGGCTTCAACAAAATGATGCTACATATTATACATTTCGCGATAAAATGAATTTATTGGGAAAAGAGTTCAACGATTGTGTAATCTGCAAAAATGCTTATCTGATCTTGCCACAAAGATCACGCGATTTAACTCTATTAGATTTTTGAGTTTAGTAAAAAGTACTTGCGCAAACAGACAGAGAATAGTCGAACAGGAGGTGTATTTCAAATTTGAAACTGGGCAAGAATCTGTATACTTTATAGGTTTTTTGAAGCTTGTTGCTGTGCATTAAAAAGGTATTGAAAAAAAATTAAAGTTTGATACTCTATAATAGGTAGGCGTGGCAAATTTTTTCCATTTTTGTGCGCGAATGCTACAGCACCGCTCATAGAATGTGCGTTCAAAGTTTTGCACATTTATCTGTTAAGTTTTATGAGTAATGAGCAAAAACCCAATTTTTCATTCCCTTTAAAAAACAAAAGTGTTCTCCGTTTACGTGATGATTGTTTGGCCCATTTTCAATTACAACCTGCGTGCAAGACATCCAATGTTTCTGCCAAATTTGAAGTCGATAGCTTCATTTTTGCAGCCAAGAGAATATTTACAACAGACATTGCCCAGCCGGACCGACCGCCGAACGGACATGTTTAAATAGATTTAGAATTTGATGCTAATCAAGAATATATATACTTTGTGAAGTCTCTGATGCTTCCTTCTGGGCGTTGTAAACGGTTTGACAATATAAATATACCCCTTATCCATCGGTGATGGCTAAAAAAAAATATTTATTTACTGACAATATATAAAAGATTTTTATAAGATTCTGTAGCACTACTAACTAATTCTTAATATTGTTCTTTACTATTCTGTTAGCTGAATTTCCTGTTATAAACCAATGAACATACACGTCACAACTCCCACAAAACCTTTCCATTTTCGATCAGCATAAAATCTGAATTAATTTATTCATATCTTTTCTTACGACCGTTTGTACTTTATAAGATGTATTAATTCCAAAGCGGGGAAAGACTAATTTACAACGCAGATAATTCGCATATACATTCTTAAATCATTTTTATAGATAATATAAAGTTCGCAATTTTTTTAAAATTGGAAATAATTATTAAAATTCTGAGGAATACTAAATGTTACTTTGCAAACATATTTTTACTATTACGGTGAAGCTTCTTGGGCGAGTTAAGCCTTTTCTGTTAACAGATTAACTGGAGTCATTCCTGCTTTTACGCAAACGTATTGAGTGCTTAACACTGAAAATCTGTAGTACGAGTTTGCATTCTGTTACTAAACCCGGGGTTTTGGCAAGTATCTCGACTAAAACCAATACAGAAAGTGTTTCTACTAGATCCATTAACCTTCGTCATTGGAGATAGCTTTTTCACTTTTTAGATGACAACAGTGGGTAAATCGCAAGAAGTTTATGGCTGGCGTATAGGTTAGACTTAAAAATGTAACGCTCAAAGGCAAGAGGCCTATTCCAAATAGGCGTGTGAGGGCTTGGCTATTGCTTCCGTCCTATACATTATGTTCAGTATCGTTAAAGCCTAAAAATCTGTCTTGGACATGCTGTGTGTATAAAATTCTCTGATCTGAATTATCTGACATAGCCAGTTTATATTTTATATCCTAAAATTGTTCAAGGCATATCAAGCAAGTGTAAACAACAACCAGCTATTTTCTAACACTTGGCCACTTTTATGCTATTTCTGTATGCAATGAGATGTGACTGTGTTATTAACATTCTAGAGAAAAACACCATCCATTATCTGTAAAACCAATTTCCAACTTATGTTGAACTAGACGTCCCAATGCGTAGGCGTAAACAAATTACAGGTTCATAAAGGGCGAAAGCTCTTAAAACTCCGTACGTAGCGCTGAAATTTCGAGAATATAGTATAATATTAAGAGTCGAACCAACATAATCTCTTCACTTCGTTCGCAAGCAGATGCGTTTAGTATTGCATGTGTTCAAGACATGTTGACAGCCTCATCCTTTGATATTTATTCTATTTATTTCTATTTTATTTTATGAATAAATAAATTCACAGCGAAGCTTAATTGGCTGTTAAAAATAAATATTAAATGTAATTAATAACCATTAAAAAGTATTTAAGGAAAACACAGAAAAAATAAGAAAATAAACAAAAGCCAAAATTCACTCATAAATAAGCATAGAAAAAACAGGAAGGAAAGCATGCACACATCAAACACCGAAGCATGCCCATAACCAACGAAAGCTCTTGTTACAAATAAACCGCAAAGCCACCAGAAACATGGAAAAGCCGATAATAGTGAAAAAATGTAGTTCAATTTTCGAATCCTATAAGGATATCGACATTAGAGATTAATCTAGACACGACGTAGCAAATCTCGCATTTTTGGGAGAGGTGAGTTAATAGTTTTTAATGAATTCGGTGTTGAGATTAAAGTACAAAAATCCTTTAGATGATTGGGAAGGACTCTAAAAGGATTGAAAAGCTCATAGTTATACCTACATTGAATACGCTTTATGAACGTAAAGTTCCTAAAGAAACTGTTCACGACCTTGAAGATTATTTCCCCAAGTAATGTCGACAAATCGATAGTATTATTTATTAATTTAATTAAGAAGGAAATATCGAGAATAAATCTACGTTTTCCAAGTGCTGGCAAGGCTAGCGAAAGCAATCCGTTTTCATGAGAAGGCAAAGAGACAAGCGGGTTCCAATCCAAATTCCTAAAGGCAGGAATTAATTTTGAAAGAATTCCGTTGAATCTACATAGTGCCTATAGGCAGGGGATCGCACAATAGGCGCATATTCAAATATTGGCCTCACTAAACCCTTATATAACTCCGGGCTACCTTCATTTAAAGAGAGATTAATATGCAAATTAAAACGAAGCCTTTGATTGAATAAAACCACTAAGTGTATGAACGAATATACATTTCCAACTATTGTGAATCAGTGAAATAATCACTAGTGAATAGAGCCCTAATTGAGAATAAAAGCTTCTTACGATTACGTTTAAGTTAGATTGAAGGAGATACGAATACAATTCCCAGGAAAACGAAGAAAACAGTTTAACATCGTTAGCGTATATTATAATGTGACTGAACTTAATCACCAAAGGAAGATCATTGATGTACAGGAGAAACAAAAACTTCTAAGTGGCTACCTTGGAGTAATTGATCAGAGGTGATGGAGTTAAACAGAACCTTGAACGGTCTATTATGGAGATAAGAGCTTATCAATTTCAATATGTATAAAGGGTAGCCAAAGCCTTGGAGTTTTAGGATCAATAATTTATAATTAACCAAACACTTTACCAAAATCAGTCTACATGAGATCTGTACGAGAGCCACTATAGAAAACATGGCAAATAAATTCTAAGAACTTCGTAACGGTTTTGTTTTAGGAAACCATGCTGAAAGGGCAAATATAGGACTTGACAGCGAAAATTATGTATGTGCTAAGTGACGATTAGTCCAAACAATTTGGATAAGACACTTGATTTAGCAGTGCCTCTATAGTTCCCGACCTTTGTAAATTGGAATAACGAAGTTGCTCAACACAAAGGGAAAGTCGGCAAGTACTTTGAAGGGTTGGTTGCCTGATCGGGGCGGATACATAAATAGCTAGGTTTAATACAATAAAGGAGGATTAGGATTTCCGTATTCCCAGTAGTAAAACCAAGCGTAATCTGCGAGAGACGAGATTTAAGCAGCTTTAAAATCATATTGTATATTTGAGCAAGAGGGATTTAACGTGTTAGTGTTATTTGTAATGAACGCGCAAACAGATTGCTGAGTTATACCGATTCTCAGGCAAACTTAATCTCGATAGCGATTTACAAGTATTTCTAGAAAATTAACAAAGCAAAGACCTAGCAGCCTGCCATTATAATTAGAAGTAGGGTTGTATTCGGCCAAATAATTCGTTGACCAATACACTAGCTCTTTCAAATGTTAAGCTTACCCTATTTTATCGGCTTGGCTTTTGGTGTTGCTATTACTTACGTAAGGAAAGTTTTGCGAGAAGTAGATGGTCGATTGTGAGACGCGGTACTTGCTTTGATCCCGCTTTGCCTCTTATCACACTTCTTAGTGAGGCCACGCTTAGCTTTTTTTTGTGTGATAATATTACTGTTAGTTTTGCCAAAGCCGATATCGTTTTTGCTACTGTCTTTGTAGTTTCCTGGGCGTAAAGGTAATCTGGGGAAAATATTGAAAAGCAAGAAAGTCGCCAGGTTGCGTCCGATATTAACGTATGGAAAACGATGTTATTTGAAAACACAATCTTTGCCTTAAGAGGCAATTTTGGACAACGATCCCGCATTGTTTTGTCTAATGATGTAAATATGATGCTTGTAGCGTTACTCGTGTAACGGTGGAGGTGATTCGAAGTTTGTTATAATGACCGTTGCCAATTATTTTGCTCTATTGGTACAGATGGGATGGATCCTCCTTTCGAATGCAAATGCAGAACCTTCTTAGTGAAAAGGACGGTGGGAACACCTCAAGCTTCTGTTTGACGCAGAATCGTTTCTCACCTTGCATTTTACTGCAGTTTGTAATTCTGTGCCCGCTAACTCCACGTCGGTGGTTTGTTTATATTAACGTAATTCTCTTTCAGATCTTATCTTGAATTTCTAAGCATACCATATTAGGTGGAAAAACTCTGCTCGTGCTTTTCAACTCTGATTGTTATTGTAATACCACGCCAATATTGTCATGCATTCTCATGATGTTAAACGAAAAATTTCGATCAAATCCCTACGCATTAGTCAAACTTCATTTGAATTGTGGGTTGTTCCGTGCGCCGGTTTCCTTAGTAATTCAGATCTCGGTTTCAGACGATATCGATGATGAGCACATTATCGGCGGGTCCCCAAAAATAAAGTCTGTAGTGAGCAAAAAGTAAGGTGGAATGTGATTAGCTCATGCCGAGCAATCCCACTTAAACCTTTGCCAAACCTCTTCAACGTTTCCTTTAGTTTCCAAGCCAAATTACTGTAAGTATAATATGTGTTTTCAAACTAAAGCAGAGTGAATCCTGTCCGCAGAGTACCATAATTTATTGTTAATGGTCATCGGAAAGATTTATGGAGCGGTTCCACCTCTGGATTCGCATGATTTGAAAAGTTTTACCGTTCAATGTTTTCCTTTTACCATTAATATGTACGAAACGAGATTTTCTGCTCTAGACAGTTCCCCAAATTTCGAATACAGCCCATCGTTCCGTGACTCAAACTGAAAATTGGGCGTTTCACATCTTCCTCAAGCTGCAGGTAATCATTAACCGACCTTATCCGGCCTAAGTACCTTTGTTGTGCGAAATCAACTCCACAGTTTTTAGCAAGAATCAATCTTCCAAATTCGGTATCACTTTCTTCCCGCGAGCTACGCTATCCGATTTGCCAGTTGCCTAGCATCCTAACTTTGACAAAAAACCGTTTCTCCCATGGGATCAGGCATTGTTCGTACTGATTCCCTTTAGGTCGAAAATAAACTGTATGTTGGTTTAAGGCCCCCTACTGTAAGGCTGAACATTCATTTCCTAGTATCATATCGAGTTCCGCGATAGTATTATTGATCTTACACCTTTGGCCAGAAGACAGACAAAACGCCACACACACCACGACGTGTTTATAAAAATAAAACGAACCCATATGGTGTTATATACTGTGAAAAATAATCGAAAAGAACAAAAAGTTAAATTAAATTAAAAGTTAAGCTAGTGTAAATAAGTTGCGAGAAGAAAAAATATTATATATTGCTTTTTCCTCATAAAAGAATTGTATTTTTTTGTTGTTTAATTACAAATGAGCGCTATATTTTGCTTTTGTATTATATATGAAAGCTATAGTATAATTTTGCTTTGTTGTAAAATAAAACTTGTGTTTTCATTACATTTATATAAGTCAGTAATTTCTTATTTAAATAAACTTCATTATCATAACGCTGGGTCTGGTTTAAATAATTTTTCAAAATATCGCAAAGATGAAAGACACTTCTGTTTTCGTTATTTCCCGATAATCTTCATGCTTTGCGTCGCGAGACTCCAACGAGAGGTTCTTCCGTCGAACATATTTTCGACTGTTCTTCTTTCCTCGGATAACGTTTTATTAAAAGTTTCCGTGTCTTGTGCTAATAAATTTCTAAGGGAAGCGCTTGTTGGGCTTGTCGCGCAGAGAAAATGCTGTGCAGCTTTCAAAATTATGATGTGGTGAATTTAGTTTCATGCAGTTCTAGCCGACTTTGAACTAACCCTTTCCAAAATTCCCAATGACACATAATAATGCCATCACTTGGGGATTAACGTCAATTCCGAAGATATCGTAAGATGTTGGTCATGTCTTAACGTAGCAACATATTAACTTTGTACTTATAATATTGTGAAACAGAATTACGATGGCGCACAACATTAATGTGTTTCCCCTCTACAGCACCTATGCAATTTGTGAGACTCCAAATCATTCAAGATGAGCGTCCGCTAAGACCAGTTTGGCAAAAACAAATAAAACGCAGCAAGAATAAGCATAAGATGCGATAAGTATCAGGCACTTCCTTCACGAGCAAACAACTTGAGATAAACGTTTTTTTGAATTCCAGTTATAACGAAGGGGAAATTTAGAGCAGCTTTAACAACAATCTGCACTTAACAGATATGAGATGGTCTATAAGAAGATTTTGGTAGCATCTTCTCTGTCAAAATTAGAAGAAGATCAATTACTTCAGGATTCCTACGAACATTCACGTCCAATTGCTCGCTGTCAATATAAAACATATAGTCGAAGACGGTCAAAAATAATCCATCGACATTTCAGTTTTTATATAAGGGTCTTACCTATCATCGGCTTTTGTACTTACGGCAACGACGATCACACTCCCACGTCATTCCTCTTATCCTAATCCAAACAATTAAATCGCCCCTTGCCATTTCCTTGTGTCGCTCAAATGTTTACTTCTAAACCTATTAATAATTTTTTTTTTAATTATAAATATTATATTATTAACTATAGTGTGGATTTACTATATTGTGAATTTACCAGGAATAGTTAAGGTCGCCTTCCGCGTGCAAAAAATATCTGTTTTCCTTTTTTTTAGTGTTTCACTTCAAGAAAATTATATTTCAAAGACAATATCCACTCTCTTGTTTTGTGTCTCTTCATACGCGTTTATATAGCGTGCGCTAATCACACGAATTTCCCTTAGCTCGCAAGCTGTGTTCGACTAATTTTGCGTAATGCTCATAACCTAAAAATCGTGTTCGTACTTTAGTTACAATTTGTCCTGAATTCGGAAATACGATTATATGTACATGTAAATGTATTACTCATTTTTTTCACATCTCAGTATTCTCTGAAGAAAGGTCTCATGAATCTTAATTCAAATTTTATTTTCTATACTTCCAAATATAAGCATTGATAACATTATTTAAATTCTCATAGGAAATATTTTCATGAAATTTTAATTGTTTTATTTCATTTAGGAAACCGTGATTTTCTAGTTTCTTTAAGTTAAAAAGTAAAATTGTATGTATTTGCTATTATCATTCTTAACTTTACCAAATAAAATTTCGTTTTTCATTACAAAACCATTATAATCTATTTTAACTTCGCAATTAAGCAAGTACAGTGTATAATTATTATTTAATAAGTTTTTTTGTTATCACAATTTTTTATAATATACCTATTCCTTCACTATCAATCGCTATTGTGTTAAATACATCATTATATTTACGTTTGCAGTTCGAAAATATAGTACAGTTTGAAGTTCTTTATAGATATTTTAATAGTATAATGTCTGCGTACTTGTATGGAATATTATTTATAGTTATATTATACTCTTTACGTGAATCGATTTCTGGAAATTTGAAAGATGTGTATCGGTAGAGGTGTATCGGCAATAACGAGTAAATTATATTTATTATTATACTTTCCCAAAAAATACGCCTAATCGCTTAAATTTCTTAGGAACCGGTGTAACTAGGCTACTGTAGTTCAAATACGGTACCGGAAACGTTTTCTTAATGCTGTTTCAAAAAACTCTTCTTTAAAATGATTGCGCCTAACTATACTAGTTTACGATCTAGTCTCAATGAAACATTCTACTCTTTAAATTCCAATAATAATTGCTACTGAAGCTATCCTTGATTTAAACGACCCTTGAGCAAATTTACCTCCTGATGTTCCTATTACTTGCCTACATTTGTGAAATCTATAGGAACAATTCCTTTTCGACGGATAATACCGAGATTTTGGAAAGCGCTTGGCATCTGGTACTAAAAAAGTTTTGTTTGAACGCCGTTTCTTGTTAACATTGTTTACTGGTAAAATTATCTCGGCCTACAAGACTGTGGATTTGGTTTCCGTCCAATTTTTTTGGCTTGTACATTAGTTCTTTTCCTATGTTTAAAGTTTATTGCTCTGATGTTAGGCAAGCTCTAAATTATGCGTTGATTATTGTAGTAAGTATTTCAGTTATATCCATATTGACATTATGCGGTATGTATAATTTTTTATTCATCATGCATGAATACATCTCATTTAGATTATTTATTTTTATATTTTTACAGCAGTTAAGTACTTCAGCGTAATCCCTTCTTGACGAAAAGTTCTTTTTGGTTCTTATCTCTCAAAATTGCTGCTCTCCGGCCATGTTGAAAGTGACTTCACTGCATTTCCCAGCAACTTCTCATTTTTTGCTGTCATTGTGCCATATGTTATCAACTCTGCGTTTTGATCATATAGACTCAACGCATTTTCCACAGGTTTAGAAAAAAGGAAAGAAGATTACCTTTTCTAAAGAGACTTAGTTGGCGAAATTGACCCAGAATATCGTGCGGGCCAACTCTCAAAGCTGGCTTTACGAATTGTCTTTGTGGATCCAGTTGATGCTGATGGTATTGTTGTAAACTCGCCTCTATTTGTTTGGATCTTGGCTGCACTTGCATGATTGGTTCTTGTATTCAAATTTTTGGTGCTGTATGTGTTGAATGTGCTTAATGATTTCATTTTAAAGTAGCATCTGAGGTTGTTGCCGTTTCTTTACGACCGCTTCCTGCTTTAGTATCAAATATTCGAGTCACTCAATCCTTAACTGGATTTATTCAGCATTCATGGTAAAGTTTTCTGTTTAGTTTTTACTTATTTTTTCACATGAATGAATTTTTGGATATATTAGTCATTGTTATTATTTAATGTATTGTAATATTTGTGTACATTCTATTTGTTTCATTTTTTCTTTTACCGCTGCGCTAGTTACAGTAATCCGACTTTTTGTTTTGTTCAGTTTTTGAAAACTACCTTCATTTTATTAAAAAATAAATGTTGTGCTAAGAACAGCAGCTATTCTGGGATTCAGCGCTTTTCGTCTATATAAAATTGTATGTACGGAGACACATTCTCGTAGCATGGATATTTTGTGGTGGCTAATACAATAGAAACGCGATCAAGTTCCTATGACATACAAACAAATGACAAAATATATGACTGTGTAAAATATATGATGTGTATATGCGTTTATTTGTAATGGGGACAAGCCGAATGACAAGATAATATAAATGCGAAATAATACAGATAATGATTTTAACATCATTTTTTCTTTTAAAACTTATAAAATTTCTATAGCGATTTACCCACCATTCCTAACTACCTTTATTTAACAATTAACAAGTGGCAGTTAAATGAACAGATAAATAGTTGAAGTACAAGTGTAACCGAATAACAGTCGCCTAGGGATAAACGACATATAGACTCCGATTAACGTTGATTGCTAAACATTTGGTAGGTTGATCATTATGGGTTCATTTCTTTGCAACTTACAAGCTCAATTAAACCACTACGTGTGCTTTTGATGGTTGTTTTTTTAAACTTCCACAAATAGCAAGGCAAGTACGTCACAGTTTTTTGCGATCTTTGATAAAGTCACGGTTATATTTCGATCGCATATCCCCTGTATTTACACGAACTGTCCCGTTATCCACATAATTGGTCTTAGTGTCCGATCGATAAAAGTAATGTTATAAAGGAATGACTAACGTCTAATGGCTTTTTCGATCGAGTTGATTCTAATCACGTCTTTGACGTCATAGATTAGCGGCGTATGTTCATTTTACATGTGTATGTTACCTTGGCGTCATAACAATTTTAAGTAGAAACTATTGCTTGCCAAGGTAACGCCAATGACCAACCATAACCAGCTTAAGGAAGGTGTGTTTGGGCCTATGTATTAATAAATTAATATAAAGAGCTCTATCGAGGATTGCTAGACTTTCGGGTAAAGTCATACCACTAAAATCGCCCATCCAAATAACGTGCTTAACCAACTCATACTTTTTTCAGCTTTCATTTTGCGGGATATTATATGGCTTGCTCAGACTACTTGTTGCTCTCATATGCTTTGCTGTAGTAGCTTTTACGTAGCGTTACAGAAATTTAAATTAATTTGCGACACTCTTATTTCTTCTTCCCATTAAAACAGCGTCTTTCATGTAATTGATATCAATATAATTTCTCTAAGGTGCTCAGAGAGTAGAGCGAGAAAGAGTTATTGTTACAGGACTTAGTAAAATATCCCCATCTTTCTTACAACAGCGCTAGCTTCTGACTATGTAATCACATATATTGCCTTGCGATGCTAGGTATTTGAAGCAGTTCAATATGCCTTCCCTTATATCCTTATATGTCCCATAAGTCGCTCACTTTCTGCGTAGCTTCAAGAGTATTTTACCGCCTCATTTCCTTCAAATGGTTTCCATATCCTTGCCGAGTTATAAATTTTAGATTGCTTTATAACTGACATTTTGCAATATATTACAACAGTTCACATTTCCAGTTTTCTAAATAACACCCTATATTTTTTTTAATTGGTCCGTTGTACGTTACCGATATTTTTTAGTGATTAATATATTACACTTTATTTTGCTGGCTACTTTTTATTAGCATTTAAACAACTGAAAAATTTGCGGTTTGATTTAAAAAGTATCGTTTTGAATGGTGGCACGAATGAATTACTTTCTATCCCGATTAGCGTTAACGTTGCCGAAATTCAAAACTTTTTTTTTTCGTTTAGAAGAAAGTCCTGAATTTTATTTTAGTACAATTCCCCAATTGTATTGAAATAAGTAAATAAGCTTCAAACTTGAGCTACAATAAAATATCAGCTGAATTAGACGAATGTAAGTTTACCTGCTTAACTATGACATTATAAGTTAAATGTAAATTAAAAGAAAAGAATTAAATTAAAAAACCTGTAAATAAATTAATAACTAAGAGTAAAAAGATAAGCGTGCACACATTCAGCCTGCACTGCAATAGAGCTTACATTTAATTTAGAGTGATATATTGAGTATTGGTAGGATCGCTAGGCATTAGCAAATTAGTTAAGTCTAGTAAACGAACATTGTTCTTACAATAGCGATGGCTACATAGATCGGACTTATGACCAGGTTAAAATCAAATAAGATGCTTATTAAATTTTCAAAGGGTACTGTAATTTCAGACAACGCCCCTATACTTCTCTAAGGTTTGTAAATCCTAAACGGCGTAACTTTGCTTTTTGACTTTATAATTTGGTGAACGTCAACATTTACCGATCTTAGATGAGTTTAAACTGATTTTGTAAACTATCACTTAATTGAGGGGAATCTTCACCTTGTTAACAATGCACCAATGAAGTAAAAGTAGATAATGCCTTTAAAATGGTATGTTCGTGCGATAAATGCGTTTAATATATTGCGCATATACAATGATTATCTTCAATGTTGAATGCCTTTTCTGCTTTGTGTAGTTTTTGAGTAAGGCGAAAATATGCTTTTTACGTGTACAGAACATACGCAAAAAATTCCCTGATAAACGCGTTGACAATCAAACGCAGTCACTTATTTTATAACTGTTCATCGTTCACAAAAACTGTAAGAGTATATAGCCAACCTTGCGCAAGTGCGCAGAAGCTTATCACCACCCTGTATTGCAAATCTTAGATAAATGCATTAATTGGGTAATATAATATGGTATTGATATACATATGAACACATACACTTTAATATATGTGTAGTTAGATAATGCTACACGCCGACTGTTCTTTTTGGCCACATTTAAGAAAGGGTATCAAAGTAACCCAAGTTCGAATTGCTTGTCCCACGTACGCTGATGGTGATGCACTGGAATGCACAACACAACAGAGAAGATATGGTAGCCGCCTGTTTTGGTTTTTCGTTCCCTTAGGTTTCTTCTAACTGTGTGACTCTGTTTGAAGCCGTTAATCAAAGAAAATCTTTTTTTTTCTTGCACATCTAATCTTTTATTAATTCACTCTTATTATTCTTGTCTTATATATGTGTAATAATTTGTACCGTAACGCATCTTTCGTAAATTTCCGGTATTATTCGACTCTTTTTGAAATTAAGTTGGATCGCTGAATTGTGACTTTTAGAATCGCATAGGTTTTATTTCAAATTCCTAAGAGATCTGTTTACAGAAACTTACAGTTTCGGATGGGGACACATTAACAAGATAAATTTAAACTAAAACATTAGCAAAAATCTCAATTACATAATTAAAGGATTTTACGACACGGTTGGATGAACAAATTCAAAATATTGACATTAAGAAAATCCGAATATTCTTGGGTTTCAACCAGGATTTTTCTGTTTCCTTTCCTAATTCCTTTTTTCTAATTCTATATCCTCTTTTTCTTCTTTTTGCAAACAGTTTGAAGACTTTGCAACACTGCGCTCACTCTCATGGCTGATGCCGATAACATATTATTATTATTATTATTATTTTAATTTTAGACTAATGAAATGAATTCTTAGACTAAAAGAAAAGACATTGAGCACTAGCAACACAGGCTATCGGCTCATCTTATTTTATATTTAACTTTTGGAAAAAATTATTTTTGTATAAGGACATTACTGTCATTGATATCTTGAAAACCCGCTCATATGTGTAGTAGAACAAACTCTCAAAATTTTGTTTTTTATATTTGTTGTCAGAGCAAGATAATTTAAATGAATTTTACATAGGCACAACAAGAGAGGCGGCGTGAAAATTTCACACGTTTTGCGTACATAAAAAAGAAAGAAAAGGTTGGCATCCCTAGCCACTCCAATAAAAAAAAAAGTACGGTCGATTTTTGGATTTGGAACCCCACAGATTTTTATTAAAGAAGGAAAAAGAAGGTTGATTGCAAAAAGAAAAGAACCAACAGTTTGAAGTGTGAAATTTTGAATTGATGTTTCCTATCAGCGCATTAAAAAAGACATACTAACAAAACTGGTAACAAAAGAACCAGATCGTTTACTCAAAGCACATTGAAACTGGTTCTGAAATAGCGTCTACCAAGAAGGATATAAGGAATTAGGAAACGAAACAAAACTATTGATACATTGCTTAACACATATAAACGGTAAAAAACAAAACCCTTTACGTACACATTGTTTTGTGCTTGTTTTCTAATCGATTAATATAAGACTAGTTTAAAAAATTTTAGAGTAGGTGAATATAAATAATAAGTCACGTTTGTGCATAAATTGACCGAAAATATGTAAATTAACATATGTTGTTACAAGCGATAGGAGACATGCGAGAGCGTTGTGCCAGACCGAAACGATAGTTTCTCAAGCGAGCGTTGATAATTTTTTGACTGTACAAATTTTGCGTGGCGTATCTTTATTTTATTTTAAATTTTTTAATTAATTTTTATTGTTGTGAATATAAATCAAAAACCATCAAACTTGAGTTGAAAATATTATATATATTCTCTGCAAAAAGAGAAAATTATGTACGTCAAAAAATTGAAAAGGTCGGAGTCTGCAAACGAGATGCACACGCGCCATTGGAAAGCTAACTAGTGCGATAGTAAAGGGGGCTTCCAATCTTTGCCTTACAGAATCTCCGTAGACGATTACACTAAAGAAAAACGTGTGCTAAAGTTATTTTTGTACAGGCAGAAGGATCGGCAAAATTTGCTTATTTAATACCCTCGGCCGGTCTACACGCTACCCTACCTAAGGTCTCCATTGGCCTATCATTTTATGTTGGATGATTTTTTGCTGTCCATGCAAGAAGTTTGGATTTAAGATTTTTAAAACTTGCCATGTCTTGAAACATGCCAGACTTTTCAAAGAATTTTTATTTTCTCTTTCAACTTCCATAACATCTAACTGATCCACCACATCATTACGTCGTTTTTAAAAATTTTCTCTAAACAACGAAGGACTATTCTACTCCTCCGTTCTTTCTGATGTTTATAGAGACGGCATGTTTCACTTAAATTACTCTCAGAAGACGTAATAGGTACGATTAGTATCGGTGCATTTGTTTCGCGTTCTATCTCTGGTTATGCAACAAAGTTTTTTGAAAAAAATTAATACCCTCGGAAACAATTTAACATCTTTGAAAATTGCTGACGGTAATAAACATGTTGCTGCAGCCTATATAGTTCCAACTCCTCAACAAAAAAATCTCTTGTGAAAGTAGAAATATCCCATCGTTTAGTAAGTGTAGCGAAATCATGATGTGACACTGTCCGTAATTTGAATGAAGCGCAAGCTAATAAACTGAGAGGCGTGATAAGTACTACCTACTCTTCCAAAATAAAAGAATTCCCTAAAACACCATGCTAATTTGTACATTGCCGGTTTGGTTATGCAGAGCACCCCAAACAATGTGCCTATTAATGAATAAAGTGATTCCACCTTACTTATGTCATCAAGTATTCGTTTAATGGATCACGACAATAGCAAGTGGGTCGATCAATTTGAACAAGCTAAAATTATAGGTGGGCATGGGTAATACTATTATGAGTTTAAAGACCTTACAGCTAAAAGACTATTCCACTCTAAAGACTTACGCGTTGGCTGAGTGAATATTTCTTTTCTTCTGGCGGTATCTGTCTTAGACAAATGTGAAGCAAAAGAAACGGCTTATTCAAAGGTACTTCTCCATAAAATCTTTGAAAGCACTTGTGTCAGATTAACTATGTATCCCCTACTTTGAGCGGTTATCCCCAGCTGCTGATGCCTTTGGTTCGCGCTCGTGCACTTTAGCTGTCTTGCAATATTTATTGCAATTGCAACCCTGTCAGGGATCGTTTACTTCAACGACGGCGATAATAACCAAAGTTGGCAGACCTGAATTATTGCTTGGCCTGGAAAAAAATGGGTAGTCTTGACGGAAGGAATGAGAAGAAAAGAACAGAAGAGCGAGCGACAATTTTGAGTATCGTGACACGAATGAAGAAAAGATGAGGAAAAAGTTTTCTCGAGAAAAACATTCACCACATTTCTTTTTAAAAGCTTTTCGATATTGCAAATGGGATTGAAAAAGTGTGCTTGAAATCTTCCGGAAATTAGGAGAGTTAATTTTAACAATACCAATATTTTACGTAGTGTGACTTTTGGCGATTCAATAATAAAAAAAAAAAATGATTATAAAGAAAAGCGAAGCTTATATTCAGTCTGGTGTGCTTTGCAAAGATTCTTATACGGAGGAAAATTGGTATATGTGTAGAAATTCTGCGGTCTTAATGAAAATAAATTATGGATTGGTTGATGACTCGAAAAAAAAGCTACAAATTATTCAATGCATGTTATAATCACTTATATATGCTAGCCAATATTTGTAATGTCAACGACAGATAGTGAAAAGTTCATTATGTGACAAATGTATGCTTGAAGAATCTAGAACTTAAAGTTCAAATTAAGATATTTTAATTCTTGTACATAGACGAAAACAGCTTTAGATAAAACGATAGTGAAATTCCATATTGAATGAAATTCTTAAGCGAACCCTTACAATAAATAAAATATAG